TGAGACAGAGAGAGAAAGAAAATAACTCGGTTGATGCATACGGAAACGGTGACATAAACCTTAAGTTAATGAGCATATGAAATAAGTTGTTTACAAACGAATTCTAGGTAAGTTGACGAGGTCAGAAAGTATACTTTACGGAAATGCCACGAACACAAAAATATTATGGAAATCGAATACGATTGGCTTAAGCGAGGTGTGCAAGTTAATGGAATAGAGTACAGGTAGACATTTATATGAGAAAGAAAAGCATTAAGGCAAAATAGAAAACCCACCACCTGAAATAAAAAGACTTAGCATGCAAGCACGCGGTTAGTAAATCGAATGCAGCGTACCTACAAACGCTGCGCCGGTTTTGAATACTTCTCTGCAGGACCCGTCGTCGCTTCTGTAGTGGTCCCGAATGGCCTCGCTCATGACTCATTAGACATTTATATGAGAAATATATATATATATATATATATATATATATATATATATATATATATATATATATCACAGTCTGTGTACAGATATGGCGCCATCGGAACCGCGGCGGAATGGGAAAACAGGGTTTGATTAAACGAACAGAAACTAAACAATTTTTTTCCTTTTTTCACTCGCAGTTTTTGAGTTTTTTGATGTTTTTTACTGGGGTAGGAAAGGGGATGATCCATCCAAAGTTCGTCAGTGGGCGAGATACTACCCGGCTGTCCAGGCCGAAGTAGAGGGTTGTTTTAGGGGGCCCCACCCCGAGTCTTTGATTCAGGATCTAACCTACTAGATTGCAGGGCGATATGAGGGTATCGCAACTCGTTGGGTGCCGGTGACCAAATAAGTGGTTCATACACCTTTAGGACCGCATAGGACCAGGAGCCCAACACACCCTTGAAGTACAATGCCACTCAGAGAGAGGCAAGGGGCATTGACCTTATTTAGTGGCGTGTCACCTTCGCCACGTCACAGTGTTGTTAAACGGGCATATGTGGTTTTTATAGGGAGAACGCTTGCCAGGCGAAAACCTGCCACGTCCTGGAACACTGCCGCCGAACCATTCGTTGGAACGGGGTAATCCCGAACCACCCAGCTGGCACCACAAGGAAGATGTTCGGCAAGCCAGCCGTATTAGTTTCTACCAGGTGGCCGACTTATAAAAGGTGACCTGTGTGTGATATATTCATGAGTGCTTCGAAGATAACTCATGCATAAGTGGTTTTGCTTGGACTGCGTCGTGGCGCTTCGCAATGCTGTGTCCTAGTTCGCATGGTCTTTGGGCACATACTCGAATTGATGGTTCGTCCACCTATCTGGTTAACTTAAACACACCTGCTGGCGAAATGTCCTCGGGAGCTACTCCATAGATCAATTATGTCCATGTTGCTTTCTGTGGATAGTCTTTTATATGGTCGTTGTGATATTCGCACATTACCCAAAGACAAGACATACGACGCTTACCGTACTGTCATTGTCGACAACTCTCTCCTGCATGCTTGGTTCGATTCCCTACTTATCGTCGCTAAGTACCCTGTTTCTGTCCCGGATAGCTTTTTGATCTTAGATCAACGGTTCTTGAACGCCTATTTGTGTCTCTCATTTATCTTGCGACTGATGAATGGGGTGCTTCAGGACGATCAACCGGCAATTTGGTGGAATGGCCGAAAAGGGTTGATAATATGACTGCTTCGCTTGAGGTCTCTTCTGTACTAATCTTAGCTGTTGACCATTAGGTCTAAAGTAGCACTTCCAGCTTAGGCTATCTCTATCTAGTGTTCAAACAAAGGAGGAATCGGTTGTGCGATGCAGTTTTTGACCCCTCTTTGTTGGTATATTTGCTTGTTTCTTCCGAGTGCACCTTCCATCACATGGTTTTCATCTTTGGTGCTCGGACTATAGGTGTCCAGCTGAGCTGAATTGGTACCACTACGTGATCCACTACTTTGCTGCAAGAATATATCTATACACACAATAGCTTGTACCATTGACGCAGAGTCATCGGTGACCATGGAATGGATGTACATAATAGCCGCAATGATCAAAAAGTGAAAAACGCAAAGATAATTTTGTATGTGTTTCTCACACGCCTTCTTGTCCTTTTTGTCAGTTTAGGGACTACAGTGTTGCTCAATAGAATCAATGCGTAAACTCATGCAGATCTCCCATTAGTGAGTAGTAGGGGAATTTATTACTTTCGAACCCACGACCTTGCTGTTACGAGCCGGCGACTTATTCCACTAAACCATGAGTGACGACATTGGACCGTCACGACTGATATCTGACTGCAATATAGTGCGGCTCATCCTCCACTGTCATGCAGGGGACAGGGTTGGTCACCAGAGCAATGACTTCCTTTGCAAGCCGCCACCAATCAAGGTGATGGTCCGGGGTTCGAATCCAGTAGGATTTGGCGGGTGCGTGCTACTGAGGAGTCTCAGTAGGACGAAACAACCGTCTAACGCTCTCCTGGATATGTGGTGGCTGTCTGCTTGAGTCTATCTGCGACGAATATTCACAGAAAATCTCCCATTGTTCCAGATTAGGCGCCATATCCTCAAAAGTCTCCAATGAGCGATGTTCTTCAACTCTGTCTCCCCAGTCCGGAAAACGTACAGGACCGACAACAGCTAGTCAGGAAGTCAGTGCCTTGACGTTATGTTTACATGTGGTAGCTTGGCCACCACGCGATTTTTCCCATTGCGGCGCTGTGCGAGCGAATAGAGCGCGCTGTGGTAAACGCTCGCACGGCATGGGTAGGACGTGACCTAGCCACCTCAATTGGCGCAGCGGAATTAGATTGTCGAGTGGGGTGCCCCGCATTAGCTGGGACGCGGTGTCTAACATCGTCGTTGCAAACATAGTGTTCCCACCTCACACGAACTATTCTCAGCAGACAACCATTGTCAGAGGCGGAAATTCGACGCGAGTCATGCACACGAATCGACCAGTACTCAATTCCATGCAACACAACCGCGCGAACACTGGCATTGTAGACCCTCTCCTTTATGCCGATAGTGAAACGTCACGAAGACGCCACTGATGTCTCACTTTAGCGAAAGCTGGCCGTGCTTCGGCAGTACGGGTAGAAGTCTTTCTTCCAATGGTGCCACCAGAAGAAACACAGCTCCCAATGTAGATGAAGCTATCCCCTATCAAAATGCGCGCCTTTAAAAATCAGCAGGGGGACAGGTGGATGCCAATCCTGGAGTAGGACCTTGCATTTCGATGGAGCGATACTTGCCATACTTGGTAGCTTCAATCACTAAGGGCTTTAGAAAAACCTGCATGATTTTTGGGTCCTCATCAAGCCTGCCAATTTCATCAGCATAGTCCAAATTAGTTGCGTGGCTACCTGGAAGTAGCTGTATGCCAAAATCCTGGGGACCTGCTAAAATGCTTAATATGACATCCATAATCACAAAGTCGGAGAGAATCGGGGACATGGAGCATACCTGTCGCACACCGTTAGTGACTGCGAATGGTGAAAAAAGCTTGCCGTAAGCCCTCACTCTGTCAGAAAACTTGTTGTTTGATGCTCGAAGAGTAGCGGTATACTTTTTGGGTGCCGCATTCTTCGACCGAGTCAAACGTTGCTTAGATATTCAAAATACGACAGTAGTAGGCTGGTGGTAAAGATGACGCTGTTTGAGCAGTTAGCGGAGTGTATAGTTCTGCTTCACACACCCTAGACTGGGGCGGGAGCCAGCCTGTTCCTCACGTAAGTGTGATTATCGTACCGGTGTTAACATGCCGAGTAGAATGGATGTTAGAAATTTAGAGGCGACTGATATTAGGCTGATACTTCTGTGGTTGGTGCACAAGGTACGGGCACCATTTTTGAAGCTCGGTACTATAATTGTCTCTTCCCAAGAGAATAAAACTTTTTCTTCACGTCAAATCTGGGAAAACAGAGCTATTAATCGGTTGACAATTGCCTATCCACTGTACTTGAGCAGCTCTGGAAAAGGCCCGTCTGAGCCAGGAGCCTTAAATCACTTCAAGTGACCAAGCTCAGGGCAAACCTCCGCTTCGATGCTTGGCTTTAGTGACATGTTTTAAGGCGCGCAATCAGGCATACTTATTAGACAACTAGAAGGAGTAGGTTGACTGAATTGGGAATGAAAGTCTTCAGCACAGTGGTCCATGCGCCTACGCCATTTAGTGACTGGTGGTCCATCAATCTTACAAATGGCTTCACTGGCGTCAGGTCTTCTGTGGTCAATGATCCGAATGATCTGGAAAAGCTTGCGAAAATTTCCAGAAGTTGTTGTCTCCATCTCTAAAGCTCTGGGATCACCAAGTTTCGCGATCATTACGCAAGCTCTGTCTGAATTTTTGGCTGAGGTTGCGGCAGACTTCGCCGCTGCTTGAATCAACTGGGATAGCTCAGCGACGGCCAAACATTTCCAAAGGTTTGCCGGAGGTGACTGTTTGTTAGTTAGACGAATTGTTCGCTGAGCTTGGCGATGTTGTTGCAAGCGTTCCATCACAAATCGAACTGACGTCATCAGTGCACTAGTGTGCATCGCAGCGAAGAGATGCATAAGTAGATGTAGATGACCTGTGTTCCACCCGGAAAACTTCATTCTCATTTGGATGACTTGCCCGGTGACTTCCTGGCAACATCCGGATATTTACGCACTCCTGGGTATCTCAAACCGGGCTTCAATATTTGCCTGAGCTTGTTTAGCTGGCAGTTCAAGCTCAATGGGGTGTAGGCATGGTTCACTTGTATTGGTTCATTGGCGGCTGTTGTCTTGACATGCTTGTCACAACGTTTCTGTTTGGCGACTTGCGTCCAGTTCAGACCATTAGTTTTTGCCAGAACCCGCTGTCCACTTTATGCTTCAAGAACTTCATTTCGCTGGATCGATTTTTCTACTCCGTCCATTCGTCCCACCAGCAATGCGTCCACCATGTTCACCTTTATTTCTGGCTACCAGCTGGAAAATCACTTTTATACATTCCTCCTTTCATTGAAACCTCCACCTCTGTCATCACTGTTTTGCATTCTTCTCAACCTTTAGGGTCAGCTAATGGAATCAGTTGAATTGGAGCGGCGTCAATTGGAGCTGCTTCGTAGGCAAAAGGATATCGATATGGGCAAGGTTACCGAACGCTACGCAGAGTACGTGCTTAGCATACCTAAACCCGAACGTGCTCGTCATCATCCTCGGACTCCAAACAAATTTCGTAAGGTGTCTCGGCGCGCCTGGGATGGGATGATTCGCAAGTGGCGTAAACATTTGCACAATTTTGACGACGCGAAGTAAGCTCTGCAGCACAGCTTTTTTCTACCCGACCACAATTCATCACATTTCGTTTTTTCATGTTGTCGTACTATCAAATAAGTTGAAGAAAATATCGATGTTGCTCTGCCGGGCTGATTAATCGCTCGATCGAAGACAACAGCCATAGCGTTTCCAAACGAAAGTGAAATATTTCTTGGTGGCAAAATAAAATATGATCAGTGTCCGCGCATGTGTTCGAACACTAGCGGTAGCCCAGAAATAGGAGTGCCCCACGTAGCGGACTGTATACCGCCGCTGCGACACGGATGGCTACTTCCACCTGTTTATCTTAATTTCCCGATTCTTTCCGTGTGCAATTTTGTGCGTTTTCTTTTCAACCGACTTATAGTTTAAATTCATTGTCTGATTATACTACCCCTTTCACGGTTATGGATACATTTTTGATAACCTCTGCTCGTTTGCAGCTGCGTAACAGTCAACAGGATTTATCATCGCCATCTGGTCTTTCATCTTTTCTAACTGTGTGGGTTGTTGTCATCTTGAATCATTGGGCTGCTAATTTTTGCCCTCTGTTTTTCATCTAGTATGTCCCATTATCTTTCAGTTTCGAGGAGAGTTGGCGATCCCTTTCCTCATCGTACGTGAGCGGTGGAACTACACCTAGCTACAGTATGAGTGGTGCATCATCCGATCAAGAAAATTTTAATCCTGACGATCTGCGACCTTCGACCTCCGCCAGGAAATGTGAACGTAAGCTGACCTCTTCGCCTTCAGTCAGAACCAAAACCAGGCAGAGTGGTTTTTCACATATACAGCCAAAGACAATAGATGACGACGAAGATACTTTACAGGCACTCCCCACTGCATACAGGCATGGCACGGAGCTTTCTACTGTTCCTCCTCTGGAAGACGAAGACACACTATCTGCTATGCCAGTTTTGGCGGAGAGCTCCTCGTCTAGACGCAGAATCACTCGCAGTTTACAGTAAGTGACTATTCCTCACTTGTCTTGAAGTTTACGGCAACCCAACATTTGCTAATGCTTCGCGTTTTTCAATGTCGTCATTGTACACGCAATCTCGCAGCTGCTCGGGTCTACACGGCTGTACAGATTTTCTGTGCTCTGCTCTCACATTAGATAAGTAGAAGCATAGATAGTAGAACACACGAGATCGAGAGGCATGGGTATCTGATTCTCGATGTAGTATTAGCGACGTTCGGATGCTTGACGTCTCTGTCTTGCAAACTACGCTCACTCATGTGGGCATCTTACAGACTACTTTTCTTAACTGCCTGTTACAATTGCAGTCCCGTTGATTTTGTCCCATATCCGAGACGTGAATTAAGGTAGCATTGGTACTTCGGTTGCTCTTACCATGTATGTTCCAACCGTTTGCGTCGTTTTGTACTCCTGCAGTCAGTGGATCAGCAGTTTACCACAAATAAGATCCTTTTAATAATCATGGATCTTTTGGATTGCAGAACATTCATTTTACCTTTTCAGACTTCTGCATTTCGTTTTGCTCTAGTCAGAAGGGAACTTTAAACTACATGCCTGCTGTTGTTGCAACCCTTGGAGCCAGTAGCATCTCAGCTGATGTCAACGCTGGGACACCTCTGCAATCCATCGCAGAATGAAAAGTAGCGATGTTTGCTGCATCATTTATCTTCTGATTCTCACCTTTTTTCCTTATGGTTACCCAGGCTTGTCCCCATGGGGTGTGTAAGCATGCTGCTTAAAATCGGTAACCCCAGGTCGCACTGTGATCTACGGTGAGTTACCGAACAACCTTCCAGCAGCAACTGAGGTTTACCACTCCCATTCAGTTCAACTGCAACATCTGCCCTACAGCACTTACTTATATCGCCTTACGATATAAATTGTAAAGTACTCCGTCTTAAAAACCTGTGCCTTGGTTTAGTTGGGCTGCATAATCTACATTTTCTGAGCCACTCAATTAATTGCGGGGTCATTCTGGCACATTATAAACGTTGTCATATTGAATGTTGTCGATTGTCACCAGAATTTGCACGAATATCGACTAGTCATTAACCTCTGCTCCTCACCTTTCGACGTTCATCTTTACATTCAACCTACTCACTACCCCTGGGGGAATGAATTTACCAAGGGTCAATCCTAGTCGCTATCTGACTGTGTTGGTAATCTAGCTGCGCTTCACCAGGCGTTGTGAAAGCGCCATCTTGAAGACGGCTCTTGATACACTTGATTTCACCTTCTTGTTTTGTTGTCCATCACTCTCTGTAGCATTATGTCCGAGAAATCCATACATGAATATCCACTCCGTTTCTTTTTGACTGGGTTTTCCGTCTAATTACCTACCTGCTACCCATGAGTAGGCGAACGGTGTTCTAGCATGCGCAACACGTGGCCCATACATCGTAACCTGGTGCTTGATATAACGATGCTGAGCGGTTCACTTCATCTTCGTGCACCTTAAACAAGACGCCGAACACACTCATTGCTCTTACGGTTTCCACCAGATGGGAGCTCAACGGTGATCGAACATGATATGCCTCTGTATGTCTGTCGATCTGATGGGTTATGTTTCACAACCGTACCAAGGATCGAATAGACGGCTGCATTGTAAACTACCATTCAGTTAGATTAATGCCGCGCCGGTGAAGTTGAGAAAATCACCTCAAGCTTTGCTATACGGTTCGTGATCCCATCTGAAATTCCACGGGCATTGATACAGCCGCCTGTAATACTGCATTTCTGAACAATCTCTAGTTGATTCCTACCAAGGGTCAGTGTAGAGGTTGGTCCCTGCCAATCTTTATGGACGCTTTGCATTTGAAGGGTGTAAGGCGCAGTTCAAAACGACTGACAGCTGGTGCTAATCTTTGAAGTGCTACTTGGCACATATGTGAGTTATTATAGTGCACTATCATGTGTATACATCTGGAAGCAGCTCCACATCTAGGTCGTGCTCAGTGAACGCAATTTTCATAACGTCAGTTTGGGAGTTTAAGATGAAGCTGATGGCCGAAATCCGTTTAAAACCACTGGAAATATTTAAGGGCGGCGAGCGCTTGCCACAAGCTTTCACTTTGCCCAAACTACCCACGTATAGCACTCTTAGGACATTTACATATGTATCCGGTACAGCTTTCCTGATCAGAGAACATTGATCCACCGAATCGAAGGCGCGTTTGGTGTCGAGGAGCACGAGTACGGTGGGTCGCCAATATAACTAGCGGTGCCCGAAGAACTGACGTGAATTGATGGTGTGGTTTATACAACAACAATCAATCAACAACGGCAGTACATCATCCATTTGAACTGATGCTTTGCTGCCATACAACCATGATAACCTATGAAATCAAAAATTATAAGTGGGAGTGAAAGGGGACTTACCGGAAAACCTTAATGCCCTAAGCAAACATTCAGAGTCAAGGCGCCTGCACCTTGTGTAGACAACATACCGTCACAAGCAGCTGACCTTCGTGCAAAGATAAGGCGGTATCGGCAAGATAGCTTTCTTGCGGCTTTCACTGCCCCGCGTCATAATCAGCCATTACCCCGCAGATAACTCAGTACCAAACACACTTTAAACAGGCAATTCGATTAGGAGATGGCAGCAAACACGCCACTGGTGTCGGTTTGAGTCATGTCTTGTAAAGTCTCTTGCCAGGCACAAGGCGAGTCACATGGACTTCAGCCCGGAAGACGAGAGGGACCAACGACACCCGCTGCCAAGTCAACTTCTGTCCACCTCGAGCCTTGCGCCACCCTACAGCTGGTAGACTCAACAAGGCCCTCCTAGGTAAGCGGTGACCAGGCGTACGTTGCATGTGCCGGAGCCATCGCAACTTATTCAGTGCTATTTGTTGTTCTAGGTAGGTAGCATGATTATCGCTACCTAGAACTCGCCTACGTACATCATCGTTGCGGACACGCTGGTGCCATCCGACACCATCAGTGCTTCGCAGACAACGATGTGGTTTATTGATATTGGGTGTTGTCCGGATGATCACACAGGTGCACTAGATTTGGGTGTGAAACACTCCGTGTAGTTCCCTCGAAGCCCTCCTGGTTACTCCTGTGAACATCCATGAACACACCAGACTAGGTCCACTTTTGCAGAACATTGTGTTTTTGAATACAAAGTGGCCACACTGGATAACTGACCTACACCTTCACCATTTTTGTCGTCGACGTGATTCATTGGCACTGGTCTATGATTGTGTTATGTTCGGAGAACGCGTCGTTTCGAAGTCCATGCAAGAAAGGATATTAAGACGGTTGCACCTACGTCACCCAGAAATATCTCGGATGAATGATCTAGCCATAAGTTATATATACTGGCAATCTCTTCCAGTAGTGTGTCGCCACATGTAGAAATTGCTCTTCAGCAGTGAAACTTCCAAACGAAATCATCCACCTCTGGATGCCAATCTCCAAGCCGTGGGAAACATTTCACATTGATTTCACCGGTCCAGTGTCTCTTAGTTATTGTTATTCGTACACTAACTGATGATTACGACCACGACAGCGGCCACAGTACGAAAATTACAACATCCATTTGCACAATTAGGTTCACCGAACATCTTGGTTTCCGATGAATTTGTTTTCTGTCAGAGTAAGACCAAACTACTACCGGTCGCCTCCGGTCCAACGGGCAACATGGAAACGTTCACTTTCAAAACCTCGGGGAAGGACCGACTGCGATCATATACTGTTTCTGTTAGGTTATCGGGCTACGCCTAACTCCGCTGCACCAGACTATAGATCCCTAGCGGACGTGAAATATGCCTACCACACGTTGCATTTCGCCCGAAGGCAACGCGTAAGCAGGAGTTTTCTTTCAGGGTAGTTTGTCTACACGTTGGCTGCAAGATCGAACCACCAAGTCTGGCAACCTGTAGTTGTACGAAAAGGAAGTAACTATCGGACTGTTATCTTTCATTCGGCACCTTAATCATTTATGCAAACGAAGGCTCGAACACAATCTCTTTTACTTCCGTGTGGCCTTTGGATGTATTGTTGGACACGTTTGGATTACCAAAATCGAGCTCAGTGAGCTTACAGAAGCACGTACAGAGCCTTCTCTTTGAGTCCTTCGGAGACCCATGCCGACAACTTAACTGATCCGATGTTTACTGGTGAACCCTGCACTTCATTCCCGTATGCCAAGAAAACAGCCTGTTTTCCAAGGGGAAGTTCTTAGGCCCGGCGATCTGTTCACTGAAAACTACAACGTCGTCTCGCGGTTCTAGACATCAATTCTCACTCACTGCTCTACTGTGGTCCATGTGCATGAGGTTTCCGATCATGTGAGGCAACCTGCCTGACACACCTTGTCGGCTGTCTAGCCTGTTTGGTCAATACACTGTCCGGTTCGGTTCAGTGCGATAAAGTCTGACGGCTCTGCGCCTCATCAACCGCATTTATAACACTGCTCGGTGCTGCCTCGATTTAGAAAATCTGGCTTGCTTTTTACGAGTCTGGCTTTCACGGGTGCCATTCAGTCCATGATGAACGATAGGGGCAAGTAACTTAGAGGCAATTGAGATCACAGACTGATACCTTTATGTTTGCCGCGGCCCGAACGCGAGCTCCCACAGTTTCACTAGTAGGTCGTCTACAAGAGCTGCTCCCTGGAATTCTGAGAGGGTTGGAGGAAGCCCATTTAGTCCTGCAACCTTATGCAACTTGTCTCACCTTGACCTCTTTGCGAGAGTTCGTATCCAAATGGACAGCACATGGATTAGGGTGATCACTGGCCGACAACGTATCTTATTATTCCACTGATTCAACTGCTTTTTATGCTGCTTAACCCAACGCTCCAAGCGTTTTGACAGGTAGACTGCCAATATTCCGCATATGACATCACCAACGTGTCTCCTGCTGCGGTTTGTCTTAGCATACTGAATACCATGCGATGGTCACATAGGGTAGCAGCTATTTTGATCTCCAATGCACGCTGAGGATTCGCGGTCTCTCTTCGGACTAGCATGCAG